GGAACAGGTGACCTGCGAAAGGCACCAGTAGTCCTGTCAGTGTTTCCGAAGTAGTCTACGAAAAGGCACCGACAGTATGCCAAATAAAAACTGATTTGTTCCCAGTAACCTGCCAGTGTCTTCGAAAGACACCAACAAAGTAACCCCTTCACATTAAAATAGCTATTAGAAAAATAGCTATATGGCTGTTTGCTCATTAAATATGTTCTTATGGCGTAACGGTAATCTGTTTTTACCCACGCACCTCGTGTGTAAACATTTCTCACGCAAATATATCGATATACGATAGATAATCGATCATTTGATTTTTTAATATGGTCACATGAAAGAGAAATCCGGCGCTGAATTTCTTTCCGTTAAAGTTTGATCCTGATCACTGGATAACCACGGCGAAAAAAAGTGTCGATCACGTTAATCCGATCTTGTTGCCGACCATCCGATACCCCCTTAAAATCATGCACTAATCAGATCGCAAGATCAATGTGTAATGCAAAAAATTGAAAAATAACATAATTAAGGAGGATTCGAATGATTGGTGACGGGTCGGCATTGGTATCGGAACATTTTTTTTTGTATCAGGGTTTATGCTAATGTGAATCTTTCAGAGCATTTATGGCGAGTTAGTTTGGAAATTTTCGAATTTGGTAACATTAATGCTGGAAAGATAGTTTGTGTTGCCGATCAGAAACATGAACTATATCGATATGAATTTGAATGCATATTTAGTTTTCTGAAAGGGGAATTCTAATAAAAAATCACTGCAGATTATATTCATCAAACTTACTTTTAGAGGACACGTCGTTTTGATAACGTCATTTTGTTACTATGCGTCTTTGACGTAATTTACGTCAATGTTTGCATCCTTAGTGTTAGTAAAAAAGGGATAATCTATATCGTAAGATAGACGTAACTCACGTCAAAGACGTAACGTTCTGCACCCTTAATTTTTCTAATAAACAAGAAGTGAAAATGTATCTAAAAATAATCACCACAAGTGTCGCAGGAGAAAAGAGCGAACTATATAGTCTATCAATTATCAGATTGGATTTCCGAATCGACTTCATCCATTTCCGGTTTGAATCTGTGGAATATTAATTTGGATAGATTTTTTAAATCGAAAAAACGAATCAATTAAATTTTTGGCACCCTCTACAATCAACAATAAAAATTCACTACACACACTGAATCTCGTTTAAAAATTTAAACTAAATATAATTTTGTAATATAGGTTGATCTTTGAATTCTTTAGTGAACATTAATTTTAATTAAGTGAAGGAAAGTAAATAACATTATTTACGATTATTAAAGAATGTAAAAACAATAAAATGTATATAATGTATATAATGTATAATTACAAATTAGTTCAATATCATAACTGTTTTAACCGCTCTTCACGCTCACCACAAATCGCGTCTGTGTGCTTTTATTCACCTTCACCCACTTCTCTGCCTCTTTTTCGCGTCGAAGCGATCTCACCAAATTATCCAATAATCTCTTTTCTTCATTCTCTCTCTGTAAAGCTTTTGCGTGCTCAGATCTCAAATTTGACATCATGGTTCGAAATTCTTTGCGTAAACCTGCTGTATTCAAGGGTTCTTTGGGATTGTTACCAAGATTTTTGATACGTTCATCGGCTAATGCATCATCAAGCTTCTCGCATTGTCGATTTAATTTGTCGATGGTAGCTTGTAATTTGTTCCGTTCAGTGTCAAAATCCAAAAAGTTTTTTGTTAATCGTTCAAATTCAAGCGAGATTCCATCCAATTCGTTTTGTAACATATCCGAACGATTCTCTAATGCTTCTTCACGTGCACTGAATCGGGACTGTACTGTGGCCATATTTTTGCTTAAATGTTCCACTTTTAACTGCAGATCTAGATTAGCAGATCTCAGATTATTTATTTCCTCGTGTGCTGCATCGAGTTGAGATCTTAAAGAATTTATTTCGTTACTATTAAGAGCATTTCCAAACATAGCAGCCGTTGCTTTCTTTCCTTTCAGCCCATCGGAAGCAGTCTTAAGCTCGGCAAGTTCCATCTTAAGCTGGACAATATCAGCTTCAAGCCGATTAATTGTCACTTCACGTTGATCCAAGGTTCTCGATTTTGAGCTCAACATTTCCTCTAATTCTTTTACAGTTTGTGCTGAATTATTTTTCTCAGTTATTGCATTGTTGTAATCAGACCGAAGTCTTGTAATAACCCCATCTCGTTCCTTGAGTTGAGCCTCGTATTCTTGTTCTTGCGAGGCCAATTGTTGTTGAAATTCCTCTTTTATTGATTTCCCATCTTGCACAACTGCGATTACAGACTGACGTTTAAGAATTGCCTCATGTTTGCGAATCTTTTCTTTATAAGCATCGATTTCTGTATGCAATTGTGTTACTTCATTACGCAACTCAGTTTCTTTCTCGGAAAATTGGGTCAAGTTGTTCTTTGCATTTTGCGCTCTTAATTCGAGATCTTCATATTTCAATTTAGTTTCTTCAAGTTCTAATTGCGTAGATTGTAAGATCTCTTTTAATTTTTCTTTTTCATCGCCCACTTCCTGTATATTTCCACATTTTATTTGTAATTGAGAAATTTCATCCAGAAGCTGTCCATTTTCCTCACCAATTTGGTGTACAAGTGATATGAAATTGTCTACAGTAAAATTTGTCGCTTCCATTTTTTTAGTAAGTTTTTCCGGTAGATTCTTAAATAATTCCTTCAATCCTTCTATTACTAGTTCATATTCTTGAGTAATCTTTTTCAATTGTTCTTGAAGATCTGCATTTGTGTTGCTTTGTCGCACCTGTAATTGTTTAACTTGTTCTTCGAGATCCTCGTTATTTCTCGATTTGAATTTCAATTCGATCAATTGTTTCTCTAAAGATTCTCGTTTTGCTTTTTCTGCTTTTAATTCTTTTTGCTGAGATTCTTTTTGTTGATCCATGTCCTTTTCAGTTTTGTTCTTGACAGCTGTTAAATCTTGGTCTAGTTTGTAAATACGGAATTGATATTCTTCCAGTGATTTTTCTAAACTAGACAAATTTTTAGAAATATTACGATATTGTTCTTTTTGAAGATGTTGTGTGGCGGTGGTCATTGTAGAGAGTCGATTGTTGGGACCTTCATCGGATTCTTCGGATGCTTCAGTGTCATTATCATCAGGGAATGCATCTTTTTTGGCCGCTTTATGTTTTCTCAAAACGATATCTAATCGACTTCCCACCTCTTCCAATTCTGTGCGCAATTCAGCGATTGTTCTTTCTCGTGCTTCACTGACAGCATCATCTACTTTTGATTTCAATTCCTCGATCTCTTTATCTTTTCTTCGGATTGACATTCGTGCATCGGCAAGTGTCTGATGAGCATTCTGCAATGAAGATTCCAAATTTGTTACTTTGTTCGTCAATTCATTATCCGAGGTCATATTCTCCATTCCCATAATCTCATTATACAGATTCTCAATCCCATTTCGACCGGGATCCATAAACATTTGCTGTTGTTGTGGACTTTGCGTTTGTTTCTCTTCGAGTTTTTTTATTCCTAAACTCAACACACCTGACATGTGATGAAACAGTTTCCGTTCTACTTCACTGGCACGCTGACTAAGTTTCCATAATTCCGTCGTTACTTGATCAACTTTACGATTCGCCTGTGAAAGATGATCGCCTGCTTGTCGTGAAAGTCTCTTGTTGGAAGCATGAAGACGAGCAAGTGAACTAGCAGCTTCACGAATTTTCGATTCAAGAGCCAATTTATTCGCAAGAGCATTCATTCGGTTGGTTAATAAAGAATGCTCCTTCATAAGTGTAAAAATATAATTTAGAATTCGTAATTCCATACATCATTCCAAACCGCCAGATTATATACCTACTTTTTTTAGTTCTTCTACATCTTCTAGATTCAATATCGCGAAATCTTTTGAATCAACGATCGCTTGAGAAATTAACAATTGTACCAACAGATCATCGGTAGTATCTACCAACGAATAGGAATTATTTCTGGTTTCTATTCTTGAAAGTATAGCCGCTGAGGAAGCTAATATGTCGCTAGCCATTCCAAATGATTGTATTCTATCGAGATTCGGTGATAAAGGTGGCGAATGATTATCACGAATAGTATTGCTAGAGGTGCCAAAGGCGGTAGATGAGGTGGGTGAAGTGGGAATCTTTTTCGAAGACAATTTAACTAACTCTTCCTCTGCAGCCAATAAATCTTGGTCGAAAGAAGAAGCTGAATCAGAAGAAGGTCTTTTTAAAACTGAGTTGAAGCTTGACGTACGTGGAGTTTGTATGGGACTTGAAGAGCTGGATTCGATTTTCATTGTACTCATAACTGGTTGAACAATTGTAGTTTGAGCACTCGAACCACTTACTACAGGAGGAGATACTGTAACAGAATCTCTTGCGGGTGTTATAGCAATGGTGCTTTTAACAGGTTGAATGATAGTGTTTTGTGCACTCCCTTCATTTATAGATACTACAGGAGGAGATACTGTAATGGAATCTCTTGCAGGTGTTATAGCAATGGTGCTTTTAACAGGTTGAATGACAGTATTTTGTGCACTCTCTTCATTTATTGATAATGATGCACTCGAAGATCTCAATGGTGACTTTACCGGACGTGCTGTATACTGTGAGGTAGGTGGTGGTAGTGGTGGTTGTTGTGGTGATTGGTTTCTTAAAAAGGCATTGTCATGGATTATTCGTCTAGGAGGTGGATACTGAGAGGGTGGTGTAAAGTTTTCGTCAACTGGCTTCCGTCGTGTGTATGAAGACATTGCGGTGTTTGTAAAGGATCGAAACCCGTTTGTGGTGGAAGGTGGTGCTCTTTATTATTTTTATTGTAACTAGCCAAACATATTCCATATTCTATATTCCAAATTGTATATTATATAACGACAAGGTTACACGATAAGAAATGATTATTGTCATTGGTTTTTATTCATTAATTTCAAAGTTCATCTGAAATAAGAAACAATACATTTGTTCATCCAATCGCTAACACTAATTACTAAAATTTGGAATCTATCGCTGTGCTTTGTTAAGACCCTCGGATAATCTTAAAAGAGCTGGTATGCCATTGTCGCTGGACATGAAACTCGATATAGTGAACAATAAGCAGCGTTGGATACTAGACTAAATCCTGTCATTGCTTATTGGACTTTTGGTCCACTGGACTTGCAAAATTTTTATAAGTCCAGTATATAGTCCCACTGCGTAATCCAATTGCCCAACACTGACAACGGATTAAGGTTCAGAACGGATTGTAATAAATCCTTCCGAAATAACGGAAACGGATCTTTTAGGAACGGATGTATCCGTTTCAAGTTATAATATGAATACCTTTGATTCAAATGATATTTTTTGGTTTAGTCATCTCGAGTTCTTTAATAACTAATCAGGTCATAACTAAATTGAATTATCATTATTATAATGCAATAAATAATTTATTAAAGATGAATTTGAAGAGTAATTTCGGCAAGTAATTTATACAAAAAATCATTTAAAATATTTATTTTACTTCAAAGAACTCGATTTTGGATAATCAGTTATTAAATTTTATAAAGGTGTTCGAATGAATTTTAATAAACAACCTTATAATATTATATCGATATATATAGTGACACGCAAAAATAATTAAAACAAATCAAAAAAGAAAATAGGTTTTTTGTTTGAATTTACCAGTGCACTTTTTTCTTTTATACATAATTTTTTCAATTCATTTTAACCTTTTCTTATTAAGATGTAACTTGGGTAATATTCTTTTGTTTGTTCCTTTATTTGTAATTCTCAATGAAATAAACAGGGTTTCATATCGTATCAGAAACAAATAAAATGCAATCACAAATTTTTTTCACCAATAAATATACAATAATTAAAGTTTCTCATAAGCCAACAAATCAGTATAGCAATAGAACATAATAAATTTATTTTTAGCATGAAACCAGGATCGCATGAAACTTCTGACTTCTGTATGGAAGATTTTCAACAAATATTAAGGAAAATTGATTTAATTTTGATCAATTAAGAAAGTTATACATAAATTAACTCGCAAAACGAGAGTGCTTAATCACGTGCCCATTTCCGGGTCAGTGCAGCGGGTCACGTGTAAATGTACAAGTTACACGTTCAACAATCATAACGATTAGTTTTTTGGCACTAAAAATCAAGTCATTATAAAAGATTTTAACTTTGAATGAATATAATTTTAAAGTGGAACACCGAGAAGGAAGACACACTCGAATGTAACCCATTATCTAGACATTTCCAAAAAGAAGTTACTTAAAAAAGAAATAATTATTCAATAAATCAATCTTTATTCTCTCATCTATATTAAAGCTTGTGTAATACATTATTATAAATAACATTATATTTGCATCAATACACCGATTATAAATTTTTCGGCACTGTCCCGAAACACTGTAGGCTTCCCATTCACAAAAACCCTTGAAGCACGTGTGATATTTTTCTGTTGATGATGTGTATCGAAACATTAAAAATTCATGCCTGAAACTGAACAAATTGACATGTTAGAAGAACAGGTATTTCTAAGAATAGACCTTACAAATAACGATCTAAATAGACAATGAATGAATATATGATTAGATAGAACATTGATTGATAAGTCGAATTTGGGTAATCCGCATTGTGGAACTCGCAAGTATATTGAGAGCGCGCGCTGTTGGTCGAGAATCAAGATACTACATTAATAATAAAACAATTGCTACTATTATTGTTACTGTTAATATCATTGTTAATATCACTATTACTATTACTACACTACACACGATATGTATGTCAAAACTCCCAGTCACGACGAACTTCCACCCCCTCCTTACGATGAGAAAGCTTTACCACTTGTCCAAAACCCAACTTCTACAGCAAGTGCCGAATCTGCAAGTTCAGATTCTACGACAATTACAAAAACTACTACCACCACCACCACCGTAACAACGGTCACAACTACCACTATTTCTTCAAAGAATAAGGGCAAAGGAAACGACGTTGGTCTCGACACCGATAATGTGACTCTCCTGCCCGTCGAATTTAAAAATAAACCTGTATTTGACGAGCATAAAGACACTAACTATTCTTCACCCAATAACACGTCATTAAATAATAAAATTCAAACAAATTCACCACCACCACCTATCGATGAAACTATTGCTTTGATGTCTTGTTCTTCCCCCGAAAACTCCACAGAAATCCTCATTTCTCCCTCCTCATCGACGACACCAGAAATTGTTTGCCCAGCTGAAAAAAAATTGTCTGATACCTCAACGACTCAAATGAGACACATTAAACGTATCGAGTCTGCACCAAATATTCCTGTCGTTTCGATAAGTGACGTGGATGGTAAAGTTCCTCTTCCTTCCAACAAATCAATGTCAAATTTACAAAATAATGATGACAATCGAAGAAATACTTTGATGATCAATGCTAGTTCCACTGAGACTCCTAAACAGTACCTAGAGCGAATGCAAGATACTTTGTCAAAAACGGAACTGACATTATTGCTAGCAAAAAAGTAAGTGTTTTTTTTTTTACGCTCTGTTCAATCGAATGGTCATAGATATTTATTTGTCATGAAATTCACAGTAAGGATGCATTCCATGAAGCGGTATTCCAAGCGTATCTTGACTCGTTTGATTTCCACGAAGATCCAATTGATATTGCGTTAAGGTAAAATAATAAAATAATAAAATATGCTATTGTGGGTAGTAAGTGAAAATTTACAATTTATAATCTGAATGATTCTTCTAGAAAATTTCTCATGGAATGTTGCCTTCCTAAAGAAACACAACAAATTGATCGAGTTATAGAAGCTTTTGCAAAACGATATCATGCATGTAATCCCAGTCTATTTCCTTCATCAGGTATCTTAATTATTTCTAGAAAATTGATTTTGTTTGTAATATTGAGGATTATTGTGAAATAGAAATGGAAAAAAATTTGCTGTTTTCTAGATACAGCATATGTTTTGGCCTTTTCGTTGCTGATGTTACATACCGATGCATTTAATAAAAGTGTAAAACGGAAAATGACAAAAGAGGAATTTGTCAAAAATTCAAGAATCGATGGTCTCCCTTCAGAAATACTAGAGGTAAAGTCAAGAATTAACCTGATATGTATTTATTAAACATGATCGATTAATAATACTGCCTTACGATCATTATTAGATTCTATACGATAATATAACATTTACACAATTTATATATGCTGAAGATGACACGGATGTTAATGGTCTGAAAATGATGACATCACCAGCAGAATATCGACATTCTAAAATATTTGGCTCATCAAAAGAACGTAAAAAGACAGTGCGTCCTAAAAATGATCCATATCATGTCATACAAAATGTATGAACTATTTATTACTATCACGATTATTATTCCCTTAATTCATCATCAATTGACCTTGAATATTTTATCCATTTGATATAGAAAACGCATACAGACTTCACGCCAACACTTCGTAATGTTGTTCCCGTTGAAAATCCGTATTCGTATAAAGGTACACTTGCAGAAATCGACACATTTTATCTTTATCGTGCTTTTACGAATGCACATACAATACGTATAACTGGAGTACGTGCTCGTCGGAATAGTAATAATGCACTTCAGCCCACCAGTTCTTCAATTCATTCGCTGGAAGAAGAAGAAAAAGGTGGCACATTCCTGCTGAAGATCACTAAAGCTGGTATCTTGAATCGTAAAGTGGATCTTTTGGAGGGTGGGAAAAAGGCAACTGGTTTCCTAAGAAGTTGGAAGCAATTTGGTGTCATTTTGAGTGGAAGCCAATTGATGTTCTTTAAGGATATTTCATGGTTCAAAACTCAGATGACGGAATTTCTTGATCCTTCGGTGCGTAAAAACATACGATTCCTATCTATTATAATACGCTATTATTCTAATCTATCTTTTATTTGGACAGAAGGTGACAAAAATTCCGGTTCTCAAACCCGATGTAATTCTCATGACTGCCGATTCAATAACTGTTTATGATAAAAGTTATACGAAATATGTGAATGTATTTCGTCTCGTGTGTCCTAAGGGACATCAGTATCTTTTTGAAGCTGATTGCGAAGAAGAAATGAATGACTGGATAATAAAAATAAATTATGCAGCTGCTTTCAAAACGGCCGGAGTAAAAATGAGATACACAAAATGTTCCAATAAAGAGCGTAAACGAGGTCGTAGAAGTTCTATAACCGATTCAGGCAAAGATGTACTAGGGAGACCTGAAGTTATAAGGGTATATATATATATATACATTTTAGATATCATAATTCTTTAGATATTTCTGATGGCTCATAAAATCATGTTTATTTAATAGGCCAAAACTGAAGATTTGCAAGGGAAGATTGCGACTCTAACGTCACAACTCAACACAGATGTACGATTTATCAAAAATCTCGTAATTATGATACCATACAAAGCTGCTACACGCGATCGGATATTGAGCGTGGCTTCTGGTATCGGAAAAAGGTTTAAGCAAACTTGCCTGGAATTAACTCGGCTAGTTTGTTATCACGAAATAATGGAAAAAGATTTATGTCAATCTGTGATGGAAGATCAGGATTATTGGTCGAGAAGAAAGAGTACCAACAAAAGTGGATATGAGCGAAAATATCGGGGAGGAACTATTAAACGAGAACGTGATATAAGATCCGAATATCATAATGAAATAGATCGACAAAATACTGCATCAACATGCACATTGGATTTAGCACATAGCGCGGATTCATCCGTCACATATTCGATTCTTGTAACACCCACACTACCATCGATCTTAGGGTCCAATCCACCGAATTTCGACTCAGAGATGAGTGATTTATTTGGACTTCATACGTTAAACACGAACAACGATCATATCGAAAGGGAAGGAAAAGATCATTTTCGGGATGACGCTTCCAGTTTTATAGAAATTGGATTCGAAGATGGTAGAGATTTGGACAATGAGCAAGAAATTCATCCGAATAATAACACAACCTTCGATGAAACGAAGGGGACAATTATTAATTCAAACAATAGCAGTGAGGTGGAGATGGAACATTTGACACTAGGGGTTAAAAGTGCTCGAATAGACGAGGACTATAACAATAACAATATTGATACAATAGAAAAGACAGTCGATGATGATGAAAAAGAAGATGATGAATCACAAGAAGAATTTGTGGATGCGGAAGAGGGTGAAATTTATTGAATCAGTTATAATCACGATATAGAAGATGGATTTTATTTCTTTTAAATGTATATATATTTTATTTTCGCTACCTAAACGACGACGATTATTTTCCTTTCTTCTTTCCTCTCTCTCCTTTACCTTAAAAAACGTGTAGAGCGAACAATTTTGGTCATTGGGATTATTTATTTATTGTCATATGTGGGATTAATTGTATTTTTCCCTCGCAAAAGATTGCATTCTTAAAATACGTCCGAACATGTAAATTGATTGGTATATTTGATTTTTAGTCTTTTGTATTATAAATGATCTCGAATTTCAAATTCATTAACAAAGAATGACGACAGCCAGCCTTACCTATTTTTACATAACAATTATCATTTATGTTAATATTCTATAAATAAATAATAAATCACATTGTGCACCAACACACAAAGAATTAGAAAGAAAATTTAGGTGACTCGTAACTCTTGTATAGAAAAAAGCGCACAACCGCTAACTTGCACATAATAATCTCTTATAACATTATTCTATCTTTTTATTATCGATATTATACCTTATTATCCCTTATTATTATCCGCGCTATATTGTGTTTGTTATTACTATTATTAGACAATCTCTGGAAAAAGATTCACTTTAGCGAGCAGCAGAGCAGCAGCAGTTGAATAGTAGAAGCGGTGTAGTATTCCATTAATATAAAAACAACACAAAAAGTGTAAAGCAACATACTTTCCACACCCACCAATAACAAACTATCTATCAACACACATACACACGAGACCCAACACAACACCCCATTTTTAAGACTCTACATTCACCCTAGACTGACTTACACTTATTTACTCTTTATACTCTTATTCTTAATCGTCACTCCCTTCTCTCCCATCTTCCTCATCATGACCTCTCAACGTCCTGTCTCGGAACAATTTAATTTACAACAACAAAAATCCGGATCAAACGCACAGTATCGACAATCCGCAGACCTTTCTCATTTAGGTCAACAACAACAGCAAAATCATCGTGGTTCATCAAGACCCACGTCTGAGATATTTTCTCCAAATACTTCGTATCATTCACCCGAAGGTATGAAGAAATATAAAATATTAGATGTTAATAATTGATAAAATTTTGTTCTTGTCGCGTTATTCATGAAACTAACGATGATTATTGAATTTTTGACGATAATGATCCTGATTATTTATTTCTTCAATTATAGCTGAAGCAATCGACAAGTGGTTTGAAGATTTGCAACATTACGAACAAACACTTGAAGAAATGGCCACAGCCAGCTTAGATCAAAATTTCAAGGAAGAACTTGGAGCACTTGAACAATGGTTTCGTGTATTATCGGAAGCTGAAAGAACTGCTGCGTTATATAGCTTGCTACAACATTCAACTCAAGTGCAAATTAGATTTTTTATCACAGTCTTGCAACAAATGGCTAGAAATGATCCAATGGGAGCTTTATTGTCACCTGCTAACCCTGAAAAAGGTATTTTTTCTATTATATGGACTAGTTTTCATTCTAATCAATTAATAAAATAATTGTTTATTTTTAATATATATATAAAATAAAAAAAGATATGATGCAAGCCCAATTAGCGAAAGCTGAGGTTGACGCTAGAATGGCTCTTAAATCGCCGACAAGTCCTTCATATCCACGTCGTCTATATGATAGACACTCAGGAATTGAATTCTTGTCACCTGAGGCAGCAATATATTCCGATCCCGCTGCTGCTCTAGCTCAACAACGAGCAAGACTTCAGGCAAATACCGGAAATAGATCCTCTGCTTTATATTCAAGACCAAAATCCATGATATCTGAAAGTGACCAAGCAGTGTGGGCACCAGGTACGAATAATAACAACAATAATAATAATAATAATGGTAAAGATAGAACAAGTAATGGACGACCCAAATCCGCGGATCTGAGTACTCTCCCTTGGACACCTGCTGCTGCTTTTCCATTACGTTCTCCAAGACCAGGTGGTGCATTTGATGGTGAATTATCTCCTTTGGTTGGTGGAAGTTGGGCGAGCATGGTTTCAACACCTGTTGTCCCGATGTTTGCTGAGAATAAACAAAAAACCGCGGCTGATGCTGATATGGTGACCAAGAAATTAACAAATTGGACTTTAAGCAATAGTTCGGGAAATCGTGTGGTCTTGGAGAGTGATGTTAAGAAATTCCGTAGAAATCACTTGAAAGGAAATAGCGCTGGAGTCCCAGCTACAGTCCACGAGGAAAAATATGGGCAACAGGCGAATATTGTTTTGTCAATGTATGACGCTGAGGGTAATAAACGATCACCGCAACATTCACCTCTGCCAAGTCCGAAAACATTAGGGGGGTCCAGACAGGGATCACGTCCTTCTTCGCCAAATCCAAATCCGGTTGGACTATATCCTATGCATACATGGGGCGCGGGGGGTGGCGCTAAATCAACACATTTAACGCCACCTGGTATTGGAGTTCATTATGTTGATGGAGAGAATGGTGGCGCTGAAGTCGGTTATTTAAGTGATCATAGTGACGCTTCACATAATACTAACAACACCAGTAACAATAAACCTTCAAAAAGTAAGAAGAAACCGAGTGATGATACTGTCGATTTTGAGCTTTTAAACGGTACGCAATTTATCTATTTTTATTTTCATCGATCGATTAGTATAATTATTAATAACAAGTACATGAATCTATTTCCAAAGATATTCCTCAATGGTTACGCAGTCTTCGTTTACACAAATATACATCAGTTTTCGAGGGCATGAAGTGGCAAAGTATAATCGAATTAGACGATAGTGCTTTAGAACAAAAGGGTGTTGCCGCACTTGGGGCTCGTCGTAAAATGCTTAAAGAATTTGAAAAAGTTAAAAACGCTCTTGTAAGTATCCATGATGATTTCTTTGATGTTTCTTGCTTTCATGATCTAATCTTTTTTCCTTATTTTAATTAAAGAACGAAAAACCTCCTGCATAGAGAAACTCGTTATCATACAATTCGGTCGGGAAGCGTATTTTAGCATCTACACATTATTATTGTTATTGTTATTAGTTATTATATAAATTTCATGATTCGGCTTTACAGTAATTCCACCACCACTACCTAATAACCATCAACGTCTTTCTGGGGGAATAATTTTTTACTATAGTTTTATTTATTTCTTGTGAATAGTTTTTTTTCTCCTATCTTATTCGAAAATCACCTTATTTCCATTCTTAATCCGATGCAAACCTTTTTTTTTACTATATATCATTCATCCGCATTAACAACCACTATAACATTAAAATTATTCTCCTTTTTAATACTACTCCTTTTATTATCACTAATTAATAATTACTGCTTGCTATTACTACACACGCGCCCTATTATTCTTCATGTATTACATTATTATATATATTAAACATTTTCACAAAATTGTTTTGATAACAAAATAGTTTTAGTTAGCCCTGGTAGGCCCTGTATATTTCTCTAGACCTTTTTTTCCTTCCAAGGACAGGTGCCTTAATTTTACTTAATAAATAAATAATTACAAGGTTAATATATTGTAATTACAATAAATTAATACAAGTATATTATATAATCGGTCAAGTTAGCTGTATCTTCCTATTCAAGAAAGATTATCAAAAAAATTTTATTTCGCGCGTTTTTCGTTTAAAACTTGAAAATGACCTCCGTTCAAGGTTCAGCAGAAAACCCTGACATTCGAAGACTGCGTCAGCGTCTCGATCAACATAATTATCGAGAGAATTTTACTCCAGAGTCGACACTACTTGTGCAAAGACTCTTTGACGACTTATGTTCAACAATTGAAAACTGTCAACTGTTTAAAAAAGACTGTAAGAATTTGGAACGAGAGAAATTGGAAGTTTACAGCCAGGCATATAATGAATTGTTTGATTTTGCGATAATCGATTTAAATTATTAAAGCGGAACCAATATTTACTGATTACTGCATAATTTTATAAAGGTCGAACCACTTCGTCGCTCTGTATCTTGTCTTACCAAAGAAAACAATCAACTTCGTGTAGAAGTTATTCATGCGGCTGATTTACGAGATAAAGAACAAATTGAGCGACAGCATCTCGTTCGTAAATATGAAGATGAGATCGCCGAATTGAAGTTTATGGATTCTCAATATATGAATAAAGCCCAGGAAGCAGAGAAGAAATTAGAATCCGAGAAAAAACGGATCGATGCAATGCTGAGAGCATTTGATAGTGACAGTGGGCAGGGAAAAGGTCTGAACCTTTTGTTTTGGTGATTAATCTATATCGTTATGAGGGGCGTTTTCAATAAATTCCCGCGTCTTTGCAGGTCGAAAACCAAAATCCGCATCATCTTGGGAACCGATTGTCCCTGAACAGATTGAAATTGACGTCCTTCTTGGTTAAATTCATTTGTCGTAAATTTTTTTTTATTTTTATTTGTCTTTGCAAGTTATTAAAATGTATATTATTTTTTTCATCATTTTTCTTTTTTCTAGAAAAAATGCCCGAAGTTTATAAACCATGTACTCCAGATCCTAAAATAGCAGACATAGTAAATATAAGTCATCAACGAATCGAAGAACTTGAGAGATTCAATAAAGATCTCAGCGACAATCAAAAGGAACTTGAAGAGCAGGTTTGAGTGTTTCTTATTTTTATCAATAATATTTTACAATAGAAATGCCTGACATGATGATTTATGTAAAGATATCGAATCTTGAAAACCAAATTACAACACGAGAACAAGAAATTGCACGGCTTGGTTCTCTTCTCGTGACCAAACGCTCGGATAATCCACTTGATAATGTTGGTGATATCCCCACCGAATCCGCTTCTGCAGAACAATTGAACTCGAAAATCCAACAATTAGAGATTCAAAAGGAATATCTACAAGAACATATTCTTAATCTCGAACAGGTAACCAGATTAAATCTACTTATTCATTATACTGAATGGAATTTCTTCACACAAAAGATATTACTTATTTAATAACGTCATCAAATAGGATAAGAGTAAACTTGAACAGGAAAGGGATTCCATCGAAGAAGAATATAAAAAGGAAAAAATGACAATCATGGACGAATTGAGAGTAGTTAAGAATCAATCACAACAGATCTATAAAGATATGGAAAATCTTGAGTTGTTGGTCGATGACTTAAATGGATTGCATTCTCACATTTGTAAAAAAGGCAAGAGTTAATTATTCTGTTTTTATGTATTTATAAAATCTAACCTTAATTTTTATATTTTTATATACCATAAAATAGAGAAACCGAAGGATTCAACTGGCGAAACTTCTGTATGTTATAAATTATCATTAATCAATTCATACAGTGCATATTTATGACCTTAAACATATTAAATTATTATTTGCATTCTAAAAGTCTGATGATACCAATAACGAAAAGAATAAACCTGACATTAAAGATTATATCAGATCGATTTATAGTGGGCTAAAAAGTGCTAACGATCAACTAAGGACAGACTTCGATGGTATGTGTTTTTTTTTCTTAATTTCTATATTATTAAGCTTTACTTTTGCTGTAATTAAGTATTGATCTTTTTATCTTAAAGGTGTATTTCATGAGAATGATAACCTCAAAACGGCTCTCGATAGCACTAAAAAGGAAATTGAACGTATAACAAAAGAGTTGAATTCAACAAAAGAACGATTAAAAAAATTACAATCAGCTGCCCAACAAAAGAATAATAATCAGAAAGGTTCAAATGCCAATATTGAAGCTTTGCAGGCTCAGAATAAGGCTTTAGAATTTGAAGTAGCCAAAATGAAATCAAAAGTATTTTCATTTATTTTGGGGTATCTCTTTATCATAATATGGAATTATACTAAACAATTATTAAAGATACAGGAATTGGGCTTAAATAACTTGAATAATCAGCATGCCGCTATTTCTAATGTTCAGAATGGACCCAATAAAAATCTTACCCAGGATCTTGCTGCCATGAAAAAAGAGCGAGCTGAGGTTTAAATTTAACATTTTTTGCACTTTCACTTTTAATTGATAGTTAACTTACGGTATTTATTATGTGTGCTATTAGTTATCTAATCGATTAGAGGAATGCAAAAAGCAGATTGAGGCTCTTAATAACCAATTAAAAGAGGCCCATGAAGAAATCGAAATGGTCAGCGGCGATCGACAGAATCTTGAGGAGCTTTACAAACAATTGAATCAAGAGTTACAAATCGCAAGGCATTCACTGTCGGTACGCATCATTATTTCCAAATCATTTTGTTTTAATTTTCTTTCTTTTTTTATGACTTGCTATCATTATTTCAGCCAGCTTTACATCAGTCGTGTAATAAGAAATTAGCAGAGGTTCAAGCCCAGTTGAACAATGCCCAAAATGAAATCCAAAATTTAGATCACGATAGGAAAAGTCTAGAACAGTTGTATCAACAGGTTTGTCAAGAATTGCAAGTACTTCAACAAATCACTACGGTAAGTTCACCTTATACATGAATTCGCGCTCTTCTTTATATTTTCGACGTTCTTGGATACCTGATTTTGTTTTCTACATTTTAAAATAGGAAAATAAACCAATACATCCGGATGGTTTTGATCTTAACAAGCAGCAATCTAATAATATTAGACCACCGAACTTATTTGATCAAAGTGGCAGTCAATCCAAATATCGAAATATTTATGATAACAATAACAACAACAACAACAACAACAACAACAACAATAGCAACAACAACAATGATGATGATGATGATGATGATGATACCAATGATGATGATAATAACAACAATGATAATAAGAATAAGAATAATGACAATGACAATAACAATCAAACAAATAAACTATTGGAAATTGAAGGTGTCTAAAATTGATTTTAATTTTAATTAAGATTTTTGATAAAAGAAATCTCAACATATTGATGATTATAGTACAGCAAGCTAAAGCTACACTTAAAAGAATGGAAGAAGAGATGAATACTGTCAGAGATCGATTTCAAAAAGTCAATGCTCGAATGATTGACGGAGGACGAACTTTGGATGCTGTCAACCGAGAAGCTGAAAAATTAAAACTTGAGCGAGATCAATTAACAGCCGAACTTGAGGTATTTTCACCATAGTATATGTTACAAAAATAAATATTTTAATGTCACAAGCTGACTGCGTTGACCACACAGGCTAATAAACAATCAAGCAAACAATTTACCGAGGTATTGTATTGATTTAATTTTTTATTATGATATAAATATTTTAAAATTTATCTTTTTTTTATGGGATTTTAGGTCTTGGCCGAGAGAAATAAAATTTACTCTGAACTACAAAATAAAGAAAATCAAGTGCAATATTTGAGTGAACTAATAGCAAAGAAGGACCAAGAAAAAGAGAATTTAATGAATTCATATAGTAAATTATTGGTGGAACATCGGAAACAAAATGAGATTCTAAAAAAATTAACGGAAGAAAGTAATAAAATAAAACATTTGAATGAACAAATAGCGCAAAAAGACCAAGAAAAAGAGAATTTAATGAGTTCTTATCGTAAATTATTGGCTGAACATCAGAAACAAGATGAGATTCTAAAAGAGAGTAATAATTTAAAGTAAATATAATTTTTATCCTTTTTTCTTTCAAAAAAAAACTTCAAATTCATTTGAATTGATTTAGAATGGAAATTCTGATACGAGATAAGCGTGTTCAACAATTACAAAAAGCTTTGGACGAATGTTCAACAGAGATCCAACAATACAAAACTGACCTTGCGAGCTATGAAAAACAGTGTGACAGTAAGTTTTCTGAGTTAATTTAGTTAACTATTTATAAACAATGAATATTGAATTGATTTAAATTTATATTTAAAGTATTAGCCAGAACGTTGCAGACATTAGACTCGGATTATGCAAATTCAGAGGTATGATTTGATTAATGTATATTTACAATTGATAGTTATTGTAAGGCATGAAATATTTTATTTTCTATGAATTTAGTTATTTTCACATTGAAAACCATTTTCATGTATAAACTATTTTAACCCAACATAAAAACACAAAATATAATTAATAAAAATTGACATTAAAATTTTAATTTGACGCAGTAATTGAGGCAATGGAAGAGATCTGTAAATATACTGTTTAGCTTCTCTTTTATATATAAACTAGAAAAAGCGTCCTTTATCTTTTGGCGCGGCTCTTTCTTCTAAAAATTTGTATACGAAAAATACCACGACTTTGAACTATCAGGTGTATATTTAATAACTGAGTGAATTTTATTCGTGTTCTTTTTTTCATCTTAATACTAATTGCCAAATTAATTTTAATTAGAATTTAGAATCATCCACTCATATACCTGAAATAACAAACAATCACGCAAGTTTTCAGATCTTTACAGAAAATCTTGGTCAAATGCAACAAGAGAACAATCTGAAGAAAACAATAGAGAATCCCGAGAATTCTACTCGTAAACGACAAAATGGTACTGAATTTGATTTGTTATATATATATGCCTATTTCTCGGAAAATTTGTCGAATGAATGAAATTTATTTATATATTACAGATTTTTTTAATGAAAATCTTGCATTTGAGAATAATTTAAAGAATTATGAAAAGAATAAAGGAAAAGCAGTTGATGTAGAACTAGGGTTAGCTCTACCACCATCACCACCACCACCATTACCACTGATACCAATACCATCCAGTAATGAAAATCATAAGGAAAAGGAAAATTATCTCTTTGGTGATTTTTTTTCAAATAAGAATTTCGCAGATCATAATACTAATAACCTTTTTACATATGAAGTAAGATTAATATGTTTTTGCGTTGTTCTTAAAAAGGAAGTCGGTTTTTTTATCTTGTATTCTCTATTATGTAGCAGCTGTCAGATAACAATGTTATTTCCAAACAGCAAATTCCATTAAAACAACAAACTAATCAATATCCATTCACGGTGGGATTGATGTCTGGTATTCATGGTAGTGACTTCGGTATATTGCTTGTGATTTTAAAAGACTCAAATATGAGCTTAAATTTTTTTGCACATTATATAATTATAGAACAACATAAGTCGAAAGCCAAGGAAGAAAAATCACCGATAGAGTGTGTAGAGATTAAAACATCTTGCCGTTTGATGATATTAAAAAGGATTTGAAACTAAGAATACTTCTTTTAAAAAATTTGATAGTCAATTCTCGGCTCATAAAACTTTTCCCAGTTTCTCCAAGCAATTCTCCTCTACCGAGATCCATACTCAGACAAACACCAAAAACGCGCAATTATCTCAAATGCGTGAAGTGAGATTTTTGAATGAAGAAAATAAACGATTAATGGATGTTATAGAACAGGTAGATTTAATTAAATTCTTGGTATCGGTATTTGATCTATATGATTAAATTTGATCTATATGATTAATTTATTAACTTATGTAAATTTTTTTAATAGACTAAAAATGATCTTGAACGTTACATAGGAGAATAGATATGCAAATTTAATATTGTATATAACTACATAGCTTATTTAAAGATTAAAATGTATTGTACTACGCAGATCTATTACTACGTCACGCGCGCGACTCGTATAATCGATGAACATCTATTTTTTTTTAAGACGAAGATTTCAATAAATTTTTCTCTTCACATTTATATAGTCTCTTTTTTTACCTGTTAAAAAGAATAAACCTCTAAAATGGCTGATGTTGCCGACTTGAATGTCATGAATGGCACGGATAATGTAGCAGTTGTGAGTGACTTAAATGTTATGGATAATGTAGAGGTGACGCGTCCCGACTCGGAACCGGAAAATGCTGAAAATGAGATTAATCAACAAAGAAAAACCAAACGCTCAAAACCGGGTCAAAGTCATGTTACAAAGATCATTGATACGATTGGTAGAGAAGTAGCAAGAAACTTTGAGCTGTTTCTTGAAAAGTATGTTTTATCTCTCGTAGGCTATTTTTCGCGTTTTTTAAAAAATCGCGTGCTGTATGAATTTGTAACAGGTTTACCACATAATCATAAAAATTAATTACTTGCCCAATATTTCAAATTAGTTATAATGAACCTATACCAGATAGTGAATGCGAAACTTACGATGACTCTTCACCCATTTGGTACCCTTATCTCGAGCAAATCGTAAAATTGCGACATCAAAGAAAACATACGATTTACGTGGATTTTAAGAAACTCCAACGCCATGCAAGTCTTTCAACTTGGCAAGCAATCCGACAGCATTATCATAGGTATTAATTGTATGGTCGAATAATTAATGATAATTTTTTTTACGCGTAATTTTTTCTTCTTTGAAGATGTGACCCCTTCCTTCGTCAGGCAGTTCGAGACCTCGTGGCAAAATACGATGAAGCATATCTCTACAAAGCACCAATTATAGACATCAGATTGGATAATCAACCCTTAAGTGAATTTTGGGTTGCTTTTTATAATATCCCGGCGCCATTGTGTATACGTGAATTGAAAAGTGTCACGATTGGACAATTGATAAAAATTCAGGGAACTGTGACGAGAACTAGTGAAGTTCGACCCGAATTATTATATGGAACTTTTGTTTGTGATGCGTGTAAAAGTATCGTGAAAAATGTCGAACAGCAATTCATTTATACAGAGGTGAGTTTATTAATTACATTTCATTGAATCTAATTAAAAAAAACTACTGATACTATCTTTAAACGTAGCCTAAAATGTGCCAAAATCCTACTTGTGCAGCACAAAAGGCCTGGTCTTTAGACATTGAACAATCCAGTTTTATCGATTGGCAACGGGTTCGTATACAAGAAAATCCTGAAGAAATACCCACTGGAAGTATGCCAAGAACGTGAGTAAATGATTTCTTCCCCCCCTTTTTTTTTACAAATCTTAATAAATTTTCCTTTTCTATAAGACTTGAAGTCATTCTCCGAAATGAAATGGTTGAAAGGGCAAAACCTGGACAAAGATGTTACTTTACCGGAACTTTGATTGCTATTCCTGACATTAATCAACTTGGAGTTCCAGGCATAAATCTTGCTTCTAATCTAATATTATGTTGTTATATGGAAAAATATGACGTTAATATATATTTTTCTTGGGTAATCTAAATTTTTAGGCTCTACGGCGGAAATGCAACGCGCCGCGCGTACTAGAACATCAGAAGGATATGGAAATGCTGGTATTACTGGATTAAAAGTTCTAGGTGCTAGAGATTTGACATATAAAATTTCTTTCTTGGCGTGTATGGTAGAGGGCATATCTTCTAAGGTAAATTATATCTACTTGATTATAATAAGTTGAATTTGATATTGACTGCGAATTTTATATTTATTCAGTCTGACATTGAAAGTTCAAAACCAGAAGGAGAAATAACCGAAGGGGAATTCTTAAAAAATTTGTCGCAACAAGAGTTAGAAGAGTTGCACGATTTGTTACAACATCCAAATCTTTACAATTCACTGGTGAAAAGTATCGCGCCCGCTGTATTTGGTTCGTGTCTCTAATTTGTTTGATCTTTGTTTTGATGTTATTTTTTTTGAATTATATTCTATCTCATCGATCGATAGGTCACGAAATAATAAAGAAAGGAATTCTGCTTCAATTGCTGGGTGGCGTGCATAAAGTCACTATGGAAGGAATAAATTTGAGAGGGGATATTAATGTTTGTATTGTGGGAGATCCTAGTACAAGCAAAAGTCAATTCCTAAAGTCAGTAAAGAAAATATCAAGATATCTATATAAGCTCTTTTTATATTAATACTCAAAAAATATATTTCTACTATATAATAGATATGTGTGCTCCATTCATCCAAGGGCCGTCTACACTTCTGGAAAAGCCTCAAGTGCAGCTGGTCTGACTGCTGCGGTTGTTAAAGATGAAGAAAGCGGGGAATTTACGATCGAAGCTGGCGCTTTAATGCTGGCAGATAACGTAATAAAAGCAACCCTTTTTTTTTATTTATTTATTACTCCTCCTAACAAAATATAAATATATTTATTATATCATACAATTCAGGGCATTTGTTGTATTGATGAGTTTGATAAGATGGACAAAAAAGATCAGGTTGCCATTCATGAAGCAATGGAGCAACAGACCATTTCTATTGCTAAAGCTGGAATTCATGCGACTTTAAATGCGCGGACATCCATCTTAGCAGCAGCAAATCCAATTGGAGGCCGATACAATAGACGATATACATTAAGGGTGATTTTGAATTTTATGTATTAATATTTGAGAAATGATTCAATTCAAGGCTAATTAATCTCTCGATTTATTTGTTAATTTATTAGCAAAATATTGCCATGTCGGGTCCAATTATGTCTCGTTTCGACCTCTTCTTTGTAGTATTGGACGATTGCAATCCAGAATCGGATAAACAGATTGCTCAACATATTTTAAATGTCCACACACATAAAGATGCAGTTCTGAATCCAGAATTCACTACCGAACAAATTCTAAGATTCGTTCAATTGGCGAAGACGCGCAAACCTAAAGTATTTAAATTTGATCGAATAGAACATCATCATTAGTCTTTACTTATTTAGTGAACTTGTTTCTTTTTTGCTGCAAAAAGTTTACCGTTGAAGCTGCCGAGTTGATCAAGAGGATGTATGTGCAGTTACGAGAAGGAGATTCCCGTGGATCCGGCACAAATTCATATCGAATCACCGTAAGACAGCTTGAAAGTTTGATTCGATTATCCGAGGCCATCGCTAGGGCTTATTTATCAAACGAGGTAACAATTCTCTTAAATATATAACAATAATTGCGTGGTACTTTTCACTTATCATTCATGATATTCCATAGATTAAGACAATATATGTGAAGGAAGCTTGTTGGCTTCTCAAACAATCCATCATTCGTGTGCAGCATGACGATGTTCAGTTAGATGACGACGAGATGGAAGAAAGAAATGCGGAGATTATGCGACCCGACGAAATACTTCAAGGAGAAAATGCAAATCCTGATGCAATGGAAACTGATAATGACGGATCTGCTGCCGCTGCCGCTGCTGCTACTGATCAAGACACTACAACTACTGATCCGCAATCAAATACAAACAATGCAAGTCCACCTCGGATGACCATTACATGGGAAGATTTTAATCAGCTCAAAAATATGGTACTTTCGCGTATTCACGAGGCTGGCGGATGTAAGTTATTATTATCTCTGATTTTATCTCGTGTTCTTTTAATGACTTATGATTCTAAACTAGGGATTGTGGAGTCGGAATTGGTTGTTTGGTATCTAGAAACCATTGAAGACCAGATGGGAACAGAAGGAGACATGGATACGGAACAATTAAAATTTAAACGTGTAATAAGAAAATTATTACGGGTAATAATCATGATTTTTATATTTGTAATTGTAATATACACATTGCGATTGTAATTAACATGCACAATTCAAATAAAATACACATAAAAATAATAGGAAAAGTATTTACTCGAAATCGAAGAAGATGAAGTGAGAGAAATTGAAGAAGAGGAAAATGAAACAACAGCAGCAGCTGTAGTACCACCTACAATAGTAATAGGTGGGTTACAACAAGAACCAGTTGCAGGACCATCGATAGTGGAAAGTCAAGAACAAGGACAATCAACAGAGTTTTCTCCAATCGTAGAGAAACGTAAAGTCCTAATCGTACATCCGAACATTGATTTGGATACAATATAATTTTATGTATACTTGTACAAATATAATCAAATAATTTTTGTGTTAAAAAAGATAAAGATTCCTCATCGAGTTTTTTTTTAGATATTTCATTGCTACTGTTGAAGCACATTAATTCTTATTGCCAAGCGTGTGATGCACAGTAAATTATCGGTACTTGTAAAACTACCAATTGATAAATCTTTGTACTAAAAAAATTTGATGATAAAAATAACTAGACGTAAGTAATAACAGTTCCAGCTTTAATGGTTTCCCAAATTTTTGCCAGTATTTCATTAAAGAATTCGCTTATTTTTCGTCTTGCTTTTGCATTTGATCCGTTGTATAAATAAACGAATATGCAAAGGAAAATTATCCGTGGAATAGTGAAACTCTGTGCCATTTTTTCACCGCAATATATTATCGCACTTGCTACCTGACTGAAAGAATTCGCAGATGGAATTCTTATTCCTCGTACAGAGGTAGGTCTCCTTTGTGTATCAACGACTTCTGTTGAAGAGGTGGATGAGAGAGATGAACGAATTAGCTGTGCATTGTTGTTGCTGCTGCCATTTTTCCTGTTATCTGCAAGTAATGAAGGCGAAGGAGTGTGAGAAATACGTCCATTTATAGTCGATTGATTCATTCCATTGGGTAGCTTTGTGGAAGAAGAAATGTGTTCAGCCTCGTCAATTTGATTATCATCTTTCCCAGATAGAAAAGCATTAATGTGATTCTTGGTATTGGTGTTTGATTTTTCGTGTTCGTGTTCGTGTTCGTTTTCTTTTTTTTTATTTTTATTTTTTGTCTTTATTGGTTTTGGTTTCTTTGCATTTTCTTCTAATTTATTGAGCAATTCTATGTAATCCTATTTATTTGCAATCTGTTAGAAATCTTCGATTTTATCCTTCTGATGATGAAGAAATGCAAATACCTTTTTACGATCTTCGTCAACTCTATTATTGTCCTCCAAGAAACTTCTGGCATAACCCCAATCCTTCAACCTTGGAAGTATATGGAGAACATATAATTCCACGATTTGTTCATAAGTTTTCAACAAAGGATCACCCTTAATTCCATTTGCCGACGCGTAATCAAACTGAAGCAAAACCATCTCTGGAATGGAAAACAGCCAGCTTTCTATGATATCTTTGGCAATTTTTGGTAATTGTTGGCCCAAGCAAAGTAAAACGCTGGCAATATTCACAATGGAATACGAGAGGAGGAGGAATACGGCATCAATGAACAAATAATTGATCACTAAAAGACTAACAACACGCAAGGACACATTACCATGCTTATCTATTCTTTACCCACCATGCAATGACAACTTCTCCATCGACGTAACCCTCTTCATCGCAATAACCTTCGTCACGTACACGCACCCAGACTTCTTCGACTACTTGTGACGCTGATTTCTCTAGTAGCCGTTTCGTCTCGGGGTGGATCGAGTTTATCCGTGACTCTTCGGCAAGAATGGACGCGATAAATGTTACGTAGAGTGCCCAGACTTTTTTACGCAGTGTAATCAGGGTGGCTGGTGAGGAATTATCGGTAAACGATAGCGGAGACAATTCGGAAAAGGCCGACAGACAGCTCATGTGAACAGTGTCATATTGACGCAAAATTAATGCTTCAGCAGCTCTTTGATAAAGAGTGTTAACTTTAGCAATGTATTGAGTGGTCATTGGCCTCGGGTGAATTTCTTTTTTTGTAGTAAAAGAAGTGGATTTTTCAAGGGAAAACGAGGGAGGGACGACTATAGTGGAAGTTCCAGGAGGTGCCATCGTTGTAGATAGTAAAAGGACGTTGTTATCGGTTGATGATATAATCGTGTATGGGAAACAATTGCAAATGACCAATTATTGCACATATGATAATTATTTCAGAAAAAAATGTAATCATGTTTTCAATCAATCAATCAATCAGTCATCTCTAAAACGGGTGATTTGCATATCCGTATACGTAACGGTAATTCAAAGTTTAACATTAAATAAAGTTAATCTATCGCTATCGCTATCTAGAAAAACATTTTCAAATAAAATTAAATAGGTAAAGATCGTATATGCTCAGTTGGCGTAAAACTAATATTATATACATGCACGTTAACGTCGATTAAAAAAAAATAGAATAATAATGACGATAATAATAATAATAATAAAGAATCTCACGGAAATCAAATGTACAGGGTGTACGTGTGATGCATAATGCACGTCAAACAAACTCGAATCCTTCCTTGAATTCAATCCAAAATAAAATAAAATAATACAGGATCCAAGGAACACATTACAGCAGATGTACAAAATAATTTTCGTCCAATTCTTTGACAAGAAGAATTTCAGCAAATGCTCATATATGCTATATCTATCATCGTGATTATTATTTTCTTCATCATCACCATCAACATCCTCATCACCAAAAGTTCGATCGCATCTTTCTCTATGTGATTGGTTGGTATCTTGTAGTAGTAGTAGTGTAGTAGTAGTAGTAGTAGTAGTGTAGTAGTAGTAGTAGTGTAGTAGTAGTAGTAGTAGTAATAGTAGTAGTAGTAATAGTTAATTTTTTTTAAGAGAGAATAATCAAGTGGAAAAAAGAAAAAATAAGAAAAAGAATATATAAAGAAAAAAGACAAATCTCTCATCATTTTTGACATTCCAAAGAAGAGAAGAGGGGATAATAAGTAGTAAATAGGTGGTAATAATAATAATAAATTACTCAAAAAAAAATTTGAGTCATTCAGTCAACAACAACAAACAATATATGTATATATATAAAATAAAGAGCGTGTATATATTATTGTTGTGTAATAGAAACAATTTTGAACCGTTTTCTGGATGTTTATTGTCCAATTATACTAGTTAAGGAACCTTAGCCATTTCTTTCTTCTTTTTATTACTACGAAGTGGAGTGACTGGTCGTCCAGTATTTATGCCGCCATAATTGTATCTTTGCTTCTTTTCGGCAGGCTTGAGAATCTATCAATGTCAATTAGAGGAAATGTTAGAATATAATTGAAAATAAATTAAATAATATAGAAAGAAAATTTTAATATTTATCTATTAATTGTAATAATAAAAGAATAGAAGAGGGGAAAAAAGAAATTAATCAGTCATAAAAAAGGTCACCAAATAAATATCAAGTGTCTGACCTGGAATGAACACATCAAAGTTTCGTCTACGCTCATCATCGCCCCAGCATTATCGAATTCTCCGCAATAATTTGGTGCAGAGAATAACGTAACTAATTGGCGTTTAGCAAAAAATTCATAGCCATCCTCAACAACTTGATGTGCCCGACATATCAAGTCCATATCATGTTTTTGTAAGAATCGACTGACAACGTCAGGTCCGAATGTGAAAGAGACACCACGATCGTTTTCATTCCAGCCACTAACGTCTTTATCGGGATCAGACCACAATAAATCACACAAGAGACCTTTTTTTGTCGACAATTATTTTACACGTTAATAATGAATTATAAATGAATTGATGCGGATGATAAATTATTTATTTATACCTGTATCAGGGACATCGGTTGGTCGCATGACTTTCCGGATTTGCTCCATGCTCTGAAGATCTGGTGATAGTCCTCCGTGCATAGTGAAGATTTTTTCATCAATAATAGCGGCGATAGGAAGACAATTGAAGCAATCCGTGAAGGTTTTCCATAATTTGATGTTATATCTTCGTTTACCTGAAATTATTAATTATAAATATAAACGGGCACATTTATCTCTAAATAAGTATCTTTGTAGGGTGGATGAATGATGCGCTCGATAAATTACAAAAACATCTTACATTCATCGTAAAACCCATAAATACGATTAATGCTTGCACATTCATGATTTCCACGTAAAATAAAAAAATTTTCAGGATATTTAATTTTATAAGCCAACAAAAGACAAATTGTTTCCAAAGATTGCTTTCCCCTGTCAACATAATCACCGAGAAAAAGATAGTTTGCTTCCGGTGGGAATCCACCATACTCAAATAGCCTTAAAAGATCGTAATATTGACCATGTATGTCACCTACACATTATTTGTTAGCGTCAAAGTATCGAGTTAATTCAAAACATTCGAGACCGATACGAGAAAAAATTTTCATGACAAATTTAAAATAATTTTCGGATTATTTAAACCTCACCGCATATTTTTATCGGTGCCTCTAATTCCAGTAAAATTGGTTGCGAAATAAAAATTTCCCTGGCTCTTGTGCACAGGAATTTTATTTCGTATTCTGCGAGTTGGACTTGCTTGCCTGGTCGACAACCTCGTACTATGCAGATGTGTGTGGTGGGAGTTTTTCATTAAGTATTGGAAGGTGAACTTAAACGGAACGAATACAAAGTGAAGAGATCGTCGAGCTAGAAGAGTGTTTTTCCTTCCTGCGATTGCATGAATTTAACTATCCCTTTTTTTTTACTTTTGCTCCGATTTGGAAACCAAACAAAGTCAAGCAAACAAAGAAAGGAATCAAGTCAATTCTGTACCTTCCAGTAACCGCTCAATAACCGAGTCGATGTCTATATCAGCTACATCAGCCATTACTATATATGTTTTGCTGACTCTTGAATTGGAAGCGCAAGAGCCGGATATAAAAAAGAAGAAAGTAGGGTGTAGTGGTAGAGAAGCGTGACAGAGAGCGTAAGAAAGTGTGTGTTGTTTAGAGGTTCGGAGACGATGGATAAAAGTTGGCTAGAGGTGGATGAATAAGCAAAAAGGAGATTATTGCTACTATAGCGAGGATAGGGCGTGAAGGTCGATTAACCAAAAAGAACAGTTTGAGTTACCTATGCAACACCCGACAGTAAACAGAGTAATGATATAGTAATAATAGCTGGTGGACAAGCATGCAAAATGTGTCACCCCTCGAAAGTTTCAATTATTATTGTTATTTATGCTATTGCTATTGCCCTGTTCTGTTCCGAAATTTTAAAATTTTGATTGACCAATCAAAATTCTTCGGAACACTAGAACAAATTCTGTTTCGTTCGGAAATTTTTAGATTTTCATGAATTGACTCATCCAATCAGAACATCAGAAATTTCGGAACAGAACCAGAACAGGCCTAACATTAATGTAATTATTAAAATCAAAGATATCCTCCTTTGCAGATGATAATCAGGTTCTCTATCAAATGATACAATTTAAGTCGGATTTCTTTTACCGTAAATAGTATCCCCAATTATTTTTTCACAAATGCAATTTAATAGCAATTAAGGTTTCTATAGAGTACTTTACGGTAATGTTTTGCAACGCATAATGATTTGAACTGCATGTTTTTTTGCTATACCAAAACAATTTTTATACCAATAAATACATAAGATGCATTGACCATAAAAAATTTCCGAAGGCTTTTAGCTTAGAAAATGCGAGATTTTAAAATTCTGGTCATGGCGAAAATCATTGAGCATGTGCTGTCCTTACATTAATATACAGCGCGGGTGACCCAATGATAAAACGTGCTAAGGATCACTATTATCAGAGGGTACCCCTATTATCAGATAGCAATAGTAATTACTCGAGTTTGAGGTATTGGCATATTGTTATAATAATGCTATTTAATAAATTGCTCACGATATTTTTGTGAATTAACCGATTCCAGATTCGACGCTTCCACTCAGTGGGTGTTTTTATCTGGACGAACTGCTCCCATCCAACAGAATTCGCACCACTGTTCGTGGTCATTTTTGTCCCAAACATTAGCTCAGACATATTTTGTGACTATATAATTTATAGTGTGTATTGTACATATGTTATATTAATGAATATTTCAATTTTAGTGGGATCGAAAATAAAGCGAAAATCCATCACGATAAGAAAATTTGATCAAAGAACAGAATAAATACAATTATATTAAATATATATTACTATAGTACAGTATATCAAAGTTAGTAATGGGAGAATCACAGTCAAAATGGCAGATATATATATATATGACTTGAGTGTTGAAAAATTCTAATACGACCCGTAAAATGTTTCATACTAATATTAGGCTATCTGTCAAAAGTCTTGGAGCGACCCATAAGATTGCCAGAAGAGTCTTGGTCCATCTCATGAGTATCACACGTAATTCTCTATCATGCTCTCATGACATTGCTCACCTTGAAAAATTCGAATTTACTAATTTCCCCCGGTTTCTGATTGGTTGAGGATATTAAAGGTTAATTTTAGTGTTAGGATTAATGGTTAGGGTTAGGACTGGAAAAAAGATTATGTGTAAAATTGTCTCCCCGGCATTTTTTATTAGTGCTTCAAGCCAGGTTTAAGCATTCGTTTTCCGTATTTTTCACATTATTCGCCTTTTTCACATTATTCGCCTTTTTAATTTTCTTGTACCGGATTTGTTTTGCCGGGTTGATCAAAAATTTTCTGGTTTGAGCACATCTGGCAGGAGAAAATTTACACGTTCTTATTGGTGAATAGCATTAGTTTCCTATTAGGGTGAACGTCTAAAGCATGGTCCATCACGTGACATATAACTATATAATTAAAGATTGATTTTAAGCTTAAGGTTAGGTTAGAGTTGTGATCAAGCTTATACATAAATTGCCTCCCCTACATTTTTATTAGTATACCAAGATAGATTTAAGCATCTGTTTTCCGTTATTTTTTTTTGCCCACGCTTCGGATTCGTTTTGTCGAGTTGATCAAAAATTTACGCATCCTTATTGGTTTATGTTTCGGACTGATTATCGGATGGACCAGGCGTTAGATATGCCCCCATTAGGGAAACTTGTATTCCTCGCACATTCAAGTATACGCGGCAGTTTCCCCTGGGAATATTATTTGTTCGCGAGGGTGGAATAAAATATCGATCTAATTCAACTAGATGTAGATATGGATGATTCAATTCCTAACTCGGCTATATCAGCTAGAAAACTATGACTATCTCCATTAATGAATCCCTGCGGAGAGGCAGGCTGAACCATTTTACCCTTGGTAAATTTTCCAATAGCCGACGGGATGAAGGTCCTGATCCGTCAGATCTTATCTCTGCCCATGTTTTCAGCACTTAAATTTTTAGAGCCAAGGCTTTTTTCTTATTGAAGACGTTACGAGTGGTGCTAGAAGGAATTGATGCCCAATTTCCTTGTTAAGTAGAGACTGAACCGATCTACGAGAATGCTTGGACTCTAACCAACTCAAGTGCTTCCCCGAGTGCATAATGCTTGTCAAGAATTTCTTTGTTTCTTCTCTTTTTTTGCGTCCGAGGGCCGACTCAGCTTGTCATACAATCGGGGAAACTCCATTTGCGAAACCAAAGAGTTTCCAATCGCTGTTCTGACTCAGCGGGATTGCCAGCAGAGTTGGCCAGATTCTCATTCTGTGTGTCGGGTAATGGATCAAGCGATAATTCTTTAAGAAGCTTTTCTACTCTAGTTACTCTTTTGTTTATCAAACATCGCTTCATCAAAATAGATAGGTTGGCGACACCGAGGACAGGCCGGATCATTTGTTGAGAATCGGTGATACATTAAAGATTGAAGGTATGTCTACAAGTCAATTTCGCGAGCGGTTTCAAGTAATCTCCATTGGTTCACATAATGGAGCAGAATCATCGCATAAAAAACATGTTTCAGGTTGCCTTTGAGGATTGATTGTCTGATCTTCTCTTTTTGTTGCGGTTTATCGCTAACGGATATCCTATCCTTTAACAAACCCACTATTACCTCTTCACGCTTTTACGCAATTCGGACGGATTCTCAATAGCATTTTCGGTCTTACTCGTTCAGTAGATACCTTCGGTGCTGTGAGGATGAAATACCAGTCGGTAGCTATTTTTCACGAGATACGAGTTAGTAATGCACAAATCGAAAAAAATTAAATCATCCCGGGTCGATTTTCCCACCTGTTGTAACGATACCGTAGACATATTAAGAAACTGTAATGATCAGCATATTTACAATTGTTACAGTTCTTTATATAATAATCCTTTAATGAAGTTTGAATGTGGCAAACTTTTTGATTTTTTCAATGGGCTCATTTTCAAATCAGTAGCATCCAGATATAATTCCCATAATATCTTATCAAATCCCTCAGTTTTATCTTTCTTGTTATCAGAACCAATTTTTTGTATTTTATAGTTTAGAATTTATTACAAATTGATCACAATTAACTAACTTAACTTATTGCATTTACTATTTATTGCATTGCATTTTTTCTATCTAATGATTAGAATGAATTTTTCACATATAACTTGTAAAGTATTTTATATGTTTCTGTTAAGAGATTATTCAAGACTTTATATTTGCAAATTATTATAATCATGTGATAATACCAATTATATAATTTAAAAAAATTATATTTTATAGTAAATAATAATGAAAAGATTCTTTTAAACTTAGTTGACCAGTCAATAATAAGGACCTGTATTTATTTTCAAAAGTTCATTATTAGTTATCCAATCCTTAAAGTTTGCTAATTAATTTTGTTTTATTTTATCTCAAATATTTTTAGTAAATAACTCTTATTTACTCATTATATACATTTTATTGAACTTTGTATAAGCTTATAAAATTCATTGCAAATTATATTATTCATATATTGAAGATATTGTTTAATATAAAAAGTAATTTTTATATTATATCAATATTTTGTGACTGTTATTACTTTTAATTAATTCAATTTATTAAATAATTTTAATTCAAAAAGTGAAAAATTAATAAAAATAGCCATTAAATTTGTTTAATAATTATGTTCTTTTAACTTTAAAATATCTTCAATTGGCATTTGAAAAATTAAGATCAATATAATATATATAATTAAATATATAAGCTTTATAAATATTTAAATTATTATAATAATTTAATAATATTAGTTTAATTATAACTCAAAATTATTCTTTAAAAATAATTATAAAAAAATTAGTATTTAAAACTTTCAAAAAATATTTTTAATATTATATATAATAATTATTTATAATTTGATACATGTTTTTTAGTCTTTTAAAATTTATATTATTAAAATTATTTTATAAAATTATATAAATATAATATAATATTTTTGTATTTTGTTGCTTTATATATTATAATTACTTTATTAGCTTTAAGTATATTTGTGAGTACAGTTTGTAAAATGTATGATTTTTGTGTTAAAATAAATTTCTATTACTTTGAATATATCTTTGATCTGCTTGAAATAGAATAAAAAGATGAATATTCTGAACTCAGTTAATACAAATAATAATTTCACTTTGTAAAATAAATAATCTAGCCAAATTATACTAGAGAATTAAAAATTATTACCTTTAAAAATTGTTATCTTTACTAATTTAAATACTTATAATTGAATTATTTTATATAGATTATTTATATATATATTTTTCCTAATTAAATTACTTATTTTAATTAAATATGCTGTTATAAGTAAGAATGATTGTTAAAATGATATTATCTAATTAAATAATTTGCTAAAATTAACTTGCCAAAATTAAATCTGAAATTATTTTGACTTATTTTATTAGTAACTGAAATTGTTTTCCAAAATTATTTGAATTCTACAAACTAAAACAAGTATTTCTAGATAATTTTTAAGTATTTATTAATATAAGTAATATAACAAAACCAAATTACTTGCTAAAATATTATTTTTTCTAAAAATAATTTAGAAGATTATCTTTAGTTATGAGTTTTAAGCTCAAATAGATATTCTTATAACATGAATATTCAACCAATATCTGTTGTAATTTCTTAATTATTTACTAACTTTGATTCAATTGCATTAAAATCAGTATGTGAAGCAGCTTCTTCTATTATATTAAGATAAAATAAGAAATCACTACTACTAATAAATATCTTCTTTTTATATTTATTTAGTGTATGAATGATTCTATAGCAATATAATACTAATATTCTATAGTAACCTGATTGAGTATGCAATAGTACATAATAAAGATAAGTGTTATAATAATATTAATTATAAAATCAATTAATATATAATTTTATTAAACAATAAACAAGAAGCAATTTATTAACTAGTTAGATTTTGTATTGATCAATTGATATCTTTTGATTTATTCAAAAGGTTCTTTATTTATATAAAATATTTTTATAATTAAGTTATTATAATATAAGATATATTATATATATTAGACAATTATATCAAAAATAAATAATATTAATATATCTGAGAATTCTACTATTTCTGCTATTTTTATAATTTATATTTAAATTATATGATCAAAATTAAAAAATTAAAGATAATTCTGAATTGTAACAATACTCAAATTGAATAATATCATTTTGATTTAATGAATTTAAAAACAATTAGAAACAACTTGTTATAATACTAATTATTTGTGAGAATAAGAAATATTACTTTATTAATCTTGCATGTTGAATATGTAGTTATTATTTTTTGATAGTACTTTTTTACTTAATTCATTATATAATTGAAAAAGCAAAATTAATTGATTTACAAGATATTTAATTGATATATAATAACTTTCATTAACAAAAAAATTATTTTTTTCTCATCTGAAATGCTAATAAGTTACAAAATATAACTAAAAGTATTAATTTTTAATCTTTACAAGCTGATATTTTTGGTAATAAATCTATCAAAATAAATGAAAATAATGAAGTTTTTGATTTAGAAATATGTCAAGTCTATAAACTTAAAATAATAATTATAAAATATATGACAGAATATCTAAAAGAGAAATTTCTTACCAATAATATACAACATATCATACAAATAATGAATAAAATAAATTAGCTATTTAATATGCTGAATGATATTGAGATAGTAAAATACAAGTAACAATATGATTTAAATTTGATATAAATCAAAATCATAAACTTTATTTTTGCATTAATTTTTTTATTTTGTTAATTAAAGATACTAATATTTGTGATATTCATTATTGAACTAGTAATAATTTTTCAATTTATCAATAATGAAAATATAAATTGGAAAATTATTTCTGAATTATATAAATATTAATATATACATTTAACAAAATCATAATTTGAAATAACAGTTAAGAATAATATGAATATTTATTTCTTATTTTTTATTTCTTTATAATAATTACTATTTTAAATTTAAGTTCTATAAGTTTATTAATTAATTATAACAATTATTATTTTAAGTTTTATATAATAATTATTGTATTTTTTAAAGTTTTATATATAATTATTTGATTAATCAAAATAAAAAATTAGTTAAATTCTATATATAGTTTGTTAATTATTCATAATAATATTATAATTCTTCATTATCAACCTTATAGAACTGAACTATTTATTAATATATATAAGAATTAATAATACAGAAGAATAATTATACTATAATCAAATCTCTCTATAGTTATCTTATTTTGCTTTCCCATTTATATATAAATATAGTTAAAAAAATTTCTCTATAGTCATATTCTCTCTATAATCACCAAATTTTAATTTTTCAAGAATGATAACTATAAAGAAGTTTAACTATATCAAAAGAATTAAAAAAATAACAGTCACAATAACTATCTTATTCACAATTCACTTGATTATAATTATAACAAATCAGCAATAAAAAAAATTTAACTTGTTATATGTTAAAAATAAAATCAGACTTATACTCAACATATTTGTTGAAAAATTCATATTTACTTGCACAGAACAAAAGCTTAAATTTGTAAGAATTTTATTTTTCATATCAATTTAACTTGCAATTACTGCAATAATCTTAGTATTAATAATTGTAGAATTACATTTAGTATATTGAATTTGATTCTTTGTGATTGATTATATCACAATTATCACAATTTTTACAAAAACAAATATTTTAGATTTGATAATATGAAAGAGATTGATTAATGAAGATGAAAATAACTAATTATCTTAATTACTCACAAATATCATCTTAATCAAACAATTATTTTGATTACAATTATTATCTCATTTACAATAACAAACTAACAATAAAGAATAATTGATTCATTATTTATTAGAATAGATTTTTAGAATTTTGCTCTTGTAAAAGAGAATTTATATGTATAATTTGTATCAACAGAGATGCAGATATTTATATTTAGAAATTTGAAGTTTAATTTATATGTTATTGGTAACTTTATTATTAATAATTTATGTATTATTAATAATTTTGTTGCTAGCAATTTATGCGTTACTGATAACTTTATTGCTGGTAATTTATGTGTTGCTAATAACTTTGTTGCTGACAAATTATATTGCTGATGACTTTGTTGCTGACAAATAATATTACTGGTAATTTTGCTACTGGCAAATGACATTTCTGATAACTTTGCTACTGATGATTTTACATTATATTTTTATCTTATATTAATATAACTTTAAAAGATTTTTGTTATATAATATTATGTAAATGTATAATTAATATAATTAGTATGATTAATATAATTAGTATGATTACAGAATCATTTTTTAAATATTATATGATCAAATAATCACATAATCAGAAAATTATTTTCTACATTCTAGTTCTTTTAACATTTTTATTAGTTTTCATATTTTTTTTAACATAAAATTACTAATCTTTATCAATTCAAACTTTTATTCTAATGATGAAAATTAAAAAATTGTTTGCTTATATATATTGATAGGTTATGTTTCATTTTTAACTTTGAGCAAATAACAAAGTAGCTAATATTAATTAATTTGTCATGTGAATAGAATTTAGTTTTCTTTCTAATATCAGTCTTACTTATTATTGAATGAAATATCATTTTCATATTTAATGCAACTATTCTTGGGTAAGCTAAAAATTCTCATTATATTATCAGTCGACATTTATAATTTTTATTATATTTATTTGTTAAATTATTAATATATTCTAATAATTTATAAAGCAGGATATCTAAACACAATAATAACTAAAATGCCATAATTAATATTTATTAAAATTTTTCATATTTGTAGATTAATATTTTTTACAGTTATTTTAGATATGATGCGTTCAGCTAGTTATATCAAATACTTTGAATTGCAAAGGATTTTTTATATGAACTTTTAAAGTTTTATGTATTTTTTCTTGAGAAGGTACGATTTAAATAATGCATTTTTTAAAGTAATGATCTGCAAAATTTCAGCGCCTTTAAAAAAATTATAATACAGTCGACTCTCCCTAAATGCAACCTCCATAATGCACGATCTTGCTCAGTCACAAGCTTATAAGACCTTTAAATATACTACTCTCTATAAATGCATACTCATGTCTGGTCCCGGCGAATTGCATTCAAGGAGTTGACGATACAACTTCATTTTTTTAAATTATAAATTTGTTGATCCTGGAAAATTCTACTGCAATATTGAGTCAGGGTTAGCGCTAGGACTGCACATCTTAGAATTTCGTTATTCGTTAGTCACGTGCTTTGTCATATGAGCTGATTTGAGGTAATTTTTGAACCAGTTATGTTTAAATTATAGCTTAATTTCTTAATGCTGGCCAAAATCCAAATTCTTTGATGCTACCCAGATTTTTATGAAATGAGATATGGTGTAGGAGGAACTCTTAAATCGACAATATGTCAACATAACTAACAAGTAAATACAAAATTTTACCAGTAATATTATCAAGAAAGTCCTTTAATATTACCGGTTAAATTTGTATTTACTTCTTAGTTAAGAAATTGATAAAATTTTTAACATGAAACATATTGTCGATTTAAGAGTTCCTACACCATACAAATTTCAATAGCCAATCGTGATAGTAAATTATTTGCTCTGTAAGTGTTCTTTAGATGGAATTTTTATTCTGGAATTTTTGATTAATGAGCATGTGAATAAATAAGTTTAAAAGCACTATGTATTTATAAAATGATTTAATGATATTGCAATGGTTAGTGTATATAATTCAGGATTGATGAAGATAGAATATCGATCCGATACAATAATACTGACGAATGCGTGATAATGAAAATGAGATAATAAACTAAAAAAAATAAATACGAATGAATGGAATGGATCATAAATAGCTATGAAAAGAAGACAACAAAAATTTACAACTCTAGCTGTACAAAAGTATAAATATAAAAATTCTATTTTTGAGTGTATGTATATATATATATATGTAGTGTGTATGGGGATGATGAGGTGAAATGAGTGGTAAAGTGCAAGTGCACGTGTATGTGTAAATGTAAAGATGCAAATATCTTATTATACAGAATGATTGAGGTGAGCAAGTAAAGGTGTAGAAATATAAGATCGAATTTTGAAATATAAGGAACGGGGTGAAATGACAAAAACGAGGGATTATTAATAAGTAATGATTTGAATTTTTGTTTAAAAAAGTTCCGATTTATATTTGTTAAGAAAATAAATTATTTACGAAAAACCAAAATGTCCATCAATTTTTTGAAGAGAAAAGGGAACGTTCGATTTTAATTTAATTAAAAAATATATTATTTATCAAGGATCAGTGAGAGGTTGCCATCTCGTAGGACTTTACGAAACAATGAGAGTATTCCTAATTCTTTTTGTTTTGTCAATTGTTGATTCTGCTGCTGCTGAAAAATATTACTTGGAATCCTGCCAAACTTTTCTTTTTCTTCCAATACACGTGTGCTTAAGATAGAAATATACACCAACAGCATTATCAACAGTCCTCCTCATTATTAGCAAGACCCAGAATTATATTTTTCAATTCATCCGATGTCCAAGCGAATAGCATCCAAAGAAATATAAAATTTCTGGTAAAAGCATCTCGCCTCGACAATCGAAATTAATAGTTTCCAACAGCTGCGCTACTGAATTATACAACACATATCTTCTTTACTTTCTTTAATATGATCATTATCAGGGCTCGGTGCCAACGAAGCAGATCGCCGTCTTCGCCGCCGTCCAATTGTAGAGAATATATTGGTAGTGGGCAATGGTGAACACCAATCTATTGCATTTTTCGTGTGACCTCCGGTTGATTCAAATGTCAGTGGAATATCTGAACCTCTAGCACGAATCACCGATCTAAAGTCTTCTGAAGGAATATCGGATCCTGGTCCATCAGGTAAAGAAGGAATTGGACGAAGATACGATGTATCAGATGATTGTCGGTGAATAGTATGAGCTATAGGCACTGATGAGATTATCGGTGTATTCTGTTGAGAATCAAGAGGAACTATATAATAAAAAAAAATGATTATTTAAATTTACAATTAAATTGAGAATAAATTCAGTAACACCAGAACTAAGATTTACCCATAGAAACTCCCGAATCCACTCCACCATTATGCCGTGTTGTTAAAATAGGTTCATCACCAGAAACTGACAATTTTTTATCATACCAATGTTTTCTATTTGATTCGAGATGACTTATACAAAACTTCATCTCGGGTATCAACTCCCGAAAACTCTGAAATAACGGCATGGCAAACTTATCAATGAAGTCGATTTGTATGTCTGGCTGAGATATTCGATCTCGGTCATTAATTGGTCCAACCGGTAAGCTCAATTTTTTCTCCAAGTCACCTTGGCACGTAAATTCTTCAAACAGCACTTTGGTCCAACTGGCGGCAATGTGATATGGTCGCGCGGTATTACTTATATCAGCGCATTTTATTAGCGCACCGATAATTGTGAGACGTTCTTTGTCACGATCAGCTGGCGATAAATTCAATTCTAGTTCGAAATTTTTTGTTGTCTCTTTCATTTTGGCGATGTATTCGTTATGCAGAGACATATCGGTTGCTAGAATTGCATTGACTATAATTTTCCGAAATTCTGTTTTAAAACGATATTGTGAATTTATTAGTGGAAAAGGTTGCAATCCATGGATCTTTCGAGTAAAGGAGCATTTTTAAATACCAGTATAATTCACCCCGCAGATTGGTCCATCAACAAATCCATGCTTTTGCATTATTTGAAACAATGACATTGCATGGAAACTCTCCAACACAGATCGATCATTATACAATTGAGCCAATGGTGTTTGTGAATTTATCTGTCAAAAGAAATATATCGAGATTCAGCTAATATCTAAATTTACTAATCCGACCATTATCGTTCATTCTAAAAAAACTCACCAAAAATACATTATTAACACCCGGATGCCCAATATCATGTCCAATAGACGCCAACAATAACGCAAACAAATCAATAGGTCTCAGTAAATCATTTGCACATCGTCGATTCGGATTCGTCCTTGCCCGAAAACTCTCAGCGGCGGTAAAAAACGGGGGCAATAATTCCATTTTCATTAGGAAATAGAACATTGCCTGTAAAACATCAACGGCGTGACGAAAGTTATGGTAGGGATTACTATCATAATAAGATTGTCGAATAGCCATGAGAAATATACGTAATCGATCTTTTTTTATTCGTTTTTTGATTAGTGATAGAGAATGAGTTTGACAAATTATAATGAGATCTATCATGATTTTTTCTTACCCATTGGCATGTTTAATGCAGCCAATTCTTCCAATTGCATTACGTGTTCGAAAATAATCACAACACAGCTCATCAACTCTTCATCCGATAAATCAGTCGGATGAAAATTCCATTCGATCAATCGTTTCTTCAGATCATTTTTTTGCTCCAATGTTTCAGCAGAATCCAAACTGAGAATCCAAATTACACAAAATAAATTAGATCGGATTTATTGCATATATTAACAGATTATCACGATTTATTTTACCTTGGCGTATATGAAAGTTTATATGACGATTCTGGTGGCGTATAATATTCCACAATTGCTTCCGCTAACCTGTTCAATCAGTCACGTATTTATTAATAAAGAGACGCGTAATAACATCAATTAAATATAGACAGCAGCTCTAAGTTACCATTTATCTCTTACAAACAACACGTCATGAATCCTTTCTTCAAAATCTGCTCTATTTCGAAATATTATTGTTTGTGTATCTTCGTTAGATGATGTTACCGAAGAAGGTGAACTTTGGGATTTTTCTGATGAGGATGTTCTATATAATCTCTATAAAGATTTTGAAATGAGCTTCATGCTTGCGGTATAAAAGAAATCTCTTAAACTAACAAACAAATGAATTTACCAAGAACATTGTTTTTGCCACTTGTGATCTAATCGGTTTTACCAGGTAATCAGCAGCACCCATATTTATACATTCCAACATAAATTCCGAAGAATCATTCCATGAAAAAACTGAATTATTATTAAATAAATAAACGTAGATATAAATAAATGAGTATATAAATATAGATAGATAATATAATATAAACGAATCACTTACTAATGGGCACAACTTGATCCAATGAATTATTGAGTATTTCTGCAGAGACCTGTCTTAATAAATCTAATCCGTATAAAGGATCGCTTTCATTGAAGGTTGACATTGATACACCTTCGATGGCAACAAAAGATTCTCTTCGTTCTATTGATCGATCTTTGTTATCAATGTCAATCAATAAAATCGTTGGGTATCCTGTTCGAGTTCGATTTCTTAATGTACTCATTGCTAAATTTCCGGATGGCACAGTTATCACTATAAAAGAATTAAATATTATTTAAATGATTCATAGATTAACTCGTCCGAGCCATTCTTAATTTAATCCCATATGTAGTCCAATCTTATTTCCACTCCATACCTTCAGCAAAAATTTCCAATAATGTGTTTACAAGCTCTTCTGCCTCTCGTTTTGCACCTACACTTTCTGTTCTCGCGTCTGTTACATTATTACTATTATTTTTATTGCTATTGTTCGTTTTTATATTAACTATTTCATTTATTCCATAAGGTGTTAATGTGTGTGAACTATTTGATGCTCTGGTTGTCTGTGAGTTGTAAGTTCTCTCTCTATAAGCACGATCAACCACAAGAATAGAACACCGACTTGGTTCCATGTATAGTGGTGATAACACCGAATCTGTCGGTGTTGCGGGGACCAAGTTAAGAGCCAGTTTTATAAAGTATAGAACCTACTCTTAGGTAGTCAATTCGTTAAATTGTGAAAGAGTTTGTGTTTCTAAGAAATGGAGTGGGGGAAGATTACTTCGTAATGTGAGAAAAAAGGGGTTTCCAGTTCTGAGTAAATGACTGTAAGTTGTAAAGCTGAACCCAATAGAACAAAGAAAGCTATATTGAGAGAATCCACTCTAATGAAACGAGTGAATACAAGTTTTACTAGCTAATATCGTCTTCTTTACACAATCAAATCAAATAAATAAGGTGTCTATTGGGAAAAGATTTCGGATTGGTATGCAAAAGTAAGTGTAAGTGTATGTGTGTTTCGGAAAAGGGAAAAGAAATAGCTTTTTCTCTATTAGTTCAGAGCAGTCAGACGTGTATATTAGAATAGTCGAATATTAAAATTATGTACTTGAATATCAAGACACAATATACGTGTGCATACTGATTATGAATACAACAAGTGTGTATACATTGTCTTACTTTATAGTATATATTACGTCTAGAATGTGAAACAAGATACAATTCTTATATGATGTATGGTGCATTATTTTCTTCGTTAAAATAAATTCCGGTTTGAAATAATTAATTTACAAGAAGATCATAAAACAAAGAAATTAATTGATTTAACGGTTATATGATAATACAGCTGACTGTATTTATATTTACATGTGTAGCGTGGCTTTAGAACGTGGCATCTTTAATTGTGATTATTTGTTCTAAGTACCTTATTGGTTATCATTTTACCCTTTCTTGATCCCTTCGCCATAGATTGTGACTTCAAAAAGACACAAGAATCTATGATGGGTTTAGTGTTACATATAAAGATCGGATCAGAAGCATTGTCATCAATGGCTAAAAATAAATGAAATTTCCTTTTTGATTTTTTGTACGTTAATAATGCATTAATACGCATAAGGCTTTTGATGTGTAATACTTGATACTTTTTGGTATAATTCAGAGTCGCGTGTGTGTATTTATTTGCATATTTGTGTGTTTATTATGAGACGAATGAATGAATGACAGAGTACAATATTTTGTACTAGGGCTGACTATATAATACAATGGTAGGACGATACGCAAATTAATATAATTAATTAATTAATTAATTAATTAATTAAATTATCGTGTTATCAAGTGTCATTCCTTGATAATACATCGAATTTGTCATTATTATCTATAATCCCCCTTGTAAGAAATCGCCAGCGTGTAGGGGGAATCGTCCGACCACGTGATTTCCGGACCAAATGATCTGCATTATTTGGTCCGACA